CTCAAACAAGCAAGTTGGAGTTCAAACGTACCACCGACGACGATGACGACAAAAACAACAATGACGACGACGACGATGATCCCAAGTGAATCATTTCATCTGCTGAAATGTACCGAAAAAACAACACAAGGGTAACTCTGTGTGACCAAAAACTATAGTTCATTTGCAAAAATATACAAAAAGGCTTAAGACTAGTTAATATAAGATTGGCTGTGTTGTGCTGTGCTGTGCTGTGCTGTGCTGTGCGGTGTGCATAATTTGCATAAGATTTGAATGGCGACTCAGACAGAGAGGGTGGGAGACAGAAATATATGTGTCTTTATTCGCTTTTTTTGACTGCCTTCTGTCAGTCAGCCGATTTATGTGTGTTCTTATTTTGGCAAAACATTTTGTGCCACTCCATCAATGCTTACGCTTTGTTTGTTCAGTTTTATGTAAACAGCCGACAAAAATACATGCACACACAAAGAATGGTATAAACACAACGAACATGATTTCGTGTCTTTACGACCAGTAACATCGTGTTGCACGACGCAAGTAGCAGATAAATATACTTTAAACAATATTACGGTGGCTGAATACTGAACACTTGTAACTTGCTCAAACTCTCTTGCTCTCGGTTGTGCAATTTTGTGCGACTGCACACAAAAAAAAAAATTCGTTATTCTTATTGCCAAAATGTCTACCAAATTTTATTTACCATCCTCTCTTCTACGACAGAAAATGAAAACCCCGGGTTACTATGTAACAAAATAAAATCGTTTGAAAAATTGTTTGCTCAAAACCAAGTCTATACTTGAGTTGCATGAATTGTATATGTCTGTGTGTATATTCGTCAGAAAATATCGTCTGCACGTTTTCATCATTATGTATTTAGATTGCGTTTTAGTTGGACTGTATGACTCACAGACGTGTGTTTACGCGCGTTCTCTTTCTCTCTTACTCTTTTGGCATAAATTCGAATTCGATTGGAAAAGTGCATTTTGGTTTTTCTCTGGTTCACTCTCTGATGCGATGGTTGATATTCTATTTTTCTTCTCCTCTCTTTCATTTACTGTTGTTTGTTGGATAAAATTTCGTATGCAGAGAGCAACAAACATAAAGCATACGATAAATCCGAACCAATATATTGGGCCGAATGTAAATCCCAACGATCGTTTTCGATTGGGTTATTTAAATCGAAGTTAAAACTTAATTTCAAATAAAATTTTATCGACATCGATTACATTTACGCTCTCGCGCTCTCTCTCTCTCTCTCTCTCTCTCTCTCTCTCTGTCCCCCACTCACTGGTTATATTTATCTGCGTAATGCCGAAACATAATGGTTGCCGAACAATAACAACAACGGAGCAATAAGACGAAATTTCGGCCAAAATGACGGAATAGCTTCTGTCTACCATACTCAAGCCATGCACTGCGCGCTATTTCACATCATATTTTATTGGAATCGAATGCTTGGAACGGCCATAGACACGACGCATTTTTCTTCTTTATATTGAAATTGCATTCACACCAACACAAATATCATCGACAAGTTCAATAAAATTTGCTCAAAGTCATTGTTCATGTTCGCTTCTCTCATTTTTTTTTTCTTTCTTCTTTTTTTTTCTTATTTGTTGTGTGTGTGTGTGTGTATTTGTTCTTTGTTCATCGCATAAAGAAGAAACAAATTGCTCACGCACGTCAAATTGACTCAAATCCAAATTGGTTCCAAGCTCATTGCTTGCACCTGGATCGATCTTGATATTTACATCGACGAAATTATAATTTTGGTTTTTGTTGGCATACTCTCTCGCTCGTTTTTGTTCCGTTACACAGTTGGTAGTGTGTGGGTTTTGGTTGGACCGGTCGGTTGTTTGTTCGTCTTAACGCTGTCGGTGATGGTGGTGATGGTGTGGTGGTTGCTGTTGACGCTTATCGGCCGAAGTCACGTCCAATCAAAGTCAACGGCATGCGGGTAAATGCAAGCGATTTGTGCGTGCTGTGTCCAAATTACGTCGTGCTGAGCAAATTTGATCAAAAGCACATTTATTGATAAGTGCAAATCCTCTTTTCGATACTTTCTCAGTTTTTTTCGGTGTGACTGCAATGCCATCGTCATCGTCGTTGTCGTCTATTTTCTAACCCAACCATCACTGCCATATCTTTCTCTTTCGTTCTCTCTGTGCGTGCATGTGGGAAAAAAAGATTTATTCGAATTTCCACAGCTATTTCGAAAGATATAAACTGCATGAAACGCACCGCAATTTGGTATGCTTTGAATGCATAGGTCAATTATTTTTGGCATCGGTCAAAACCATTGATTGCAATTCATGGTATGGGCCTCGAAATGAAATGACGCCATTCCTTTGACAGACAAACGTACCGCTTTGACTCGCAATTATGTCAATCAAGAATGATTACAGACAAATGCGTCACACACGCACACAATGTTGATAACATCAAAGCAGATGAACGAACAGACAAAGAGGAATATATCTCTTGTTATCTAGAACAAATTGTGTTGGATGGCAATGAACATCAACCAAATCAGCGCATTCTATTTTCTACCATTTTTCATGATTGCTCTCTATTGCGTTACTTTTTCTTTCTCGCTGTAACCTTCCGTCACCTTGTCTAGGTTACGACGAGATCCCACAATCATTTAATCAGAGATTACTATGAGATATTTTTATTCATATGGGATATCCCATATGAATAAAAATATCTCATAGTAATCTCTGCATTTAATTAAACAAACAACTTGAAGATTTTGTATTGAATGTAAACTTTATGATCGATTAAATGGAATTTAGAACTGTGTAAATTGCCAGAAAAAAAAACCAAAATCGAACATATTTCGGCTCAACGTATTACACCTTTCAATCATCTAAACGAATAAAATTACAAGCAGATGAATGAGCAGACAAACACCGATTTCAGTCGCAGTCAATAGTCATCAATATTGGCACGTTCACCACAGACACATATCGAACGGTATAGTAACCCAAAAGGTATAGTCGTGCGAATCAATACGACTCAGCATTAATATTTATGAATGACGTGTCAGACTAATATAACTTCTTTGTCTTGCTGCTTGCTGTTTTTTTCCCTTGTCTCTTTGTTCTGCTGCCAATGATTTTTGATGATTCGAATTTTTGCTGCATCAAACATTAGACGATACAGTTTGAAATTGATATGTAATTGACAGCGGTGGAGGGAAAAAAAATTGTTTTTGTTTATGATTCCAAGAGAAAAGAGCCGAATCGAAAAGTCAAGTTGTCGAAACTAAGGTAGTCTTGTCGGTTCGGTTCGGTTCGACAATATGTTTGTTTATTCGCTAAACTTGATTTTATGAAATTGACAGTTCGGTGAAATGAGTTTTTTTCAATTACATCAGATTTCTTTTTTTCTAGAGGGAAGGAGAATCTAAATTAATTTTTATTTTCAACTCATGAGAAAATTTTCTAATTAATTTTCAAATTCCGATTTCCAATGGTTCCAAGAAAATATCGAATCTTTCCATTGAACAAGAGAGAAAAAAAAAACACATGCGTTCCAAAATATTCGCCTGTCTCCCATTACATGGACATAATGGCACCGGTGATGGAAAATTGTTCGTGCCATTTTTGACTATTTACGGCTCACGTAATGAAAATATGTGAAATTCTTTGCATTATCATCTCCAGCAATGTCATCCAAACGGAGAGAATTTATTAATTAACGAGATGAAATTAATGAACGTCAGTCCATTACGACATCGAATGGGAGTGGTTTGTGGCCGTGTCCATATCCATGTCAATGTGTGTGTGTGTGCATGTTGTACCCTTTACAAGATGATTGTTTCATCTTGTTAATGCATGTTCGCACAAATTGAATGCTGAAATTTTTCAATATTTTCTGTTTTTGTTGTTCGTTGATGACTATCGACAGCAAGACAACAGGGATAGTTAGCGATTGATCCTTGAATTTTTTTTTTGGTTCAACCATGTGTTCTCTGCCAATCATTCGGTTTTATTTTTTCGTACATGAAATCGATCTCTTTATTTGACCTGTTCCGATGAAAATCCATGCACAATAAACGATAGGCTTTGGCAGTTTAACGAAAAACATAAAGAATAACAACGAGAGAGAGAGAGAGTATGTCATTGAAAAAGGGTAAAACATATGAGATATATAATCCAATTCGGATAAGCAGGACCAACCGAACAAGCAAAGAGTGAAAAAAAAATGAAACCAAACGAGAACCGACTTTATGCGTTTTTGATCCAAATATTGGCCTGCGAGCAATTTTCGTTAAGAAAAGGTAGAGCAATGTGGAGGGCTTAGCATCGCATTCACTACAAATACGTTATCAATATAAAACCATGGAAACCGGATAGAAGAGTCATCTTCAGATTAACGTCTAATCTTATCTACTTCCCTTTTTCTTCGTATGTTCTACCACAAATGCTTTAATTCGCCGCACATGAAAACGAAAAAAAGAGGAAGAAGAAGACGAATACACCGTAAAAAGACGATGTATTCTACTTAGTTTGACTTATTAAGCCAACCATTTTGGTACAGTTTTATTTCGATTCTTATTTTGGTGTATCGCCACCCCATGATGCTGTTCAATTTGTCGATAGCAACAACAGTGTGACTGGTGAACAAACAAAAATCCCATAACAATTCGAAATGATGACATAATTGACACACGAATCGCTTCATTTCACAGTATCACTCCATGAATCACCTTTTTCGATATCAAAGGAGCAAACAAAAAGAGTCTCATTCCGGCTCATATCTGCACAATGGACAATGCTAAATAAATCCATTTTCCGTTGATGCCATGATTTGGTGTGTGTGTGTATGTCTCTCTCATATTTTTCCATTGCACACCGTTACACAACGTTTTTTTTTCGCTTCATTTTCTGTTTCTCTTTCCACCTCCAATTTATTCATCGTATGCCACGAGGTGGCGAGTCGTGTTGCAGCTTTTTTTTCTTCGTCATTTATTTATCGTCTTTTATCTTTTGCAGAGGCACGTCAGGCATCGATATTGATTTACGGCGCGTCGACATTGATCAATGTCCACAACGACAAATGGCTGGCGGCGTTGCGCTACCATTAAATATATTCGCTGGAACCGACAAATGCAAAGCAAGAACGACTGAGGTAATTTATAAATATTTGTTATTGTTGATAATATTTACTTCCTTTTGAAGCTCTGCACAAAAATTACGAGTGAGAAATATATATAAACAAATATCGTCCAACACATCAGAGGTTAAATAGCTGGCAAATGCGTTAGAACAACACGACGCATGAAAAATATCGGATAAATTTATTTGATATTTGAAATTTATATAAATAAATTTATGTACAACCAACCTCTGCAACACATAACCAGGTATGCGCTTATTGTGTACGTAAGAGCGTACGTCGTTGACGAACGGTAAAAAGAATCAGGGAGAGAGAGAGAGAGAGAGAGAGAGAGAGAGAGAGAGAGAGAGGGAGAGAGAGAGAGAACATGGATGCTTTCACATTTTACATTCAACCGGCTCCGCTTCAGATAAACCAACCATTATCTACCGAAGCCGGATTTGGTTTTTTCAACTAGTCACGACATTTAATCAATACAGATTAAAATGAAATCACAACAATGATAAAATACAACGCACCATGAATGTTGTTGACGTCACTCAAGCAAATAGAGTGTAGAAAAATACAGAAAAACTGACGTGGCGGAGCTTTTCTTCCTTTCTCTCTATCTCTCTGATGATGTCGCTTATGCAAATTTCATAAAACCTTGGGTAATATTTCACATTGAATATTTTTCATGTGACGGATTTGTTTTGCGCATGTTTTTTCTTCTTTCGTTTGTCGCGTTTTTTTCTCAGATTATTGTTTAATCTCCGCGTTCGGGCAGAGTTTTTTTTAGTCTGATCATCGATTTGACACGAGATCGTGTACCATAGCCTCCGACATATATCATTCTAGAGAAAAACAAAAAGTTCGGTCAAAATTGGGAAAAATTTAAACGACTCTTTTTCTACGCCGATTTTTCAAATAATTTATTGTATATTGTGTATTTAAGATTATGTAATTCAGAGGTATTAGATAAGATCATCAATGTTGTTGAGTTGAACTTAATTATTAGCTTGAGCTGCATTGGCAGCTGCTGCTGATGCATTTCTAGCGGCTGCTGCGCTTCTGACGGATGCTGTCCTTTGTGACCGGCTAGCGTAGGCTGATGACATCACCATCATCAAAATAGCGACGACGAATGCAAAGATGACGTTGAAGTTCATGTTGTTTATTTGCTTTTTATTTTGACGTGAATTCAAAATAATGACTGATTTAATCCCATTGGACACTTTCGTTATTTATACTTTGTGCATACTTGCACATACTTGCATATACCTAAGATCAATGTCGACACACTGATAAGCACAACCCCTGCACCACACTAACAAAACAAAGTAAAACACGAATTTGCGATGAGCGCATTCAGTGAAGTTCATTTCAATTCTTTACGTCGTTAGACGCACTCATGAACGCGACAAATTGAACGCATCAACAATGTTCCGTAATGAAAGAAACATTTTTTAATTATAAAAATAATGTTTATCGCGTGCTCACGCTCTCACAAAAATCAATTTTGCACATTCGTGACATTTTTATTTTTTTTTGTCTACTTTATTAACAAATATAAAAAAGATTCAATAATATATTGAACGATCTGTGTCACAACTTTTGACACTTGTCTCGTAGCGCTAGAAGTGAGCTATCAGACGCTTAGATGCAGGACCTTCGCTGATAAGCACATTGATTTGATTTCACACTTTTTGCACTTGGTGATTTCGTTGGAATTGTGTTTTGTTGAAGAAAAACAAAATGAAATTTCGCATGCAATTACCGGCTTTGTTTTGGCACGTTTTTTAACCACGAAAAGTGGCTTCGGAAGACCAGACATTTTTTAGACTTTACACGCATATTTCGCACAATTTTACTTTATGATGAAAGAAAATTCGTACCTCATCCACATTCCTGGTGTACGAATTCACAAAAAAAAAGAATTCCCAAAAATTATCGATTTAAGAACACGTTGATTGGATTTATCATTTAGTTCAATAAATTTTGGGCCAGAATTTCTGGCGCAAGTTATTCGCAGACTGCATTTCAACGTGTTATCAGTGAGACGGTTGAAAAGCCATTGAACTGTTTCTCGTGTTTTTGCGGAAAATCGATTGGATTCAGTTTTTTGTTATTATCGTAATTGTAACACCAATTTCGCTAATGAGAACAGTTTTTTATTCGGCTATAAATTGCACAGTATTCCAATTTATGAAAGTTAATGGTTTTTTAAAAATTGAAATAACAGTTATTCTTCGATCTGATGATTAAAATACCTCTTTTCATCATAAATTTTTTTTCTTGGAACGAACTTCATTCATGCATATAAATTCTCATTCACTTCTTTTTTCCACCTAAAATGCATTGCCATTGAGAAATAAATGATATGAGTTTTATACTTTAATCTACATTGACTACCGAAATGCGTTTATCAAATGTGCTTTTCAATCAGGGTTATCAATAAGTCAAACGACTTTTAACTCTCAATATAAATTGTTAGTCTATCTTTGTCGTTCGTCGACTCGACGAGAAACAAAATGAAAAATCATTGTTGATTTTATTGGAGCACAGCGAAAGGTTTCGTGAATTATTAAATAATTTGAAGCGTTATGTGCACACGTACGCACACATTCTCCACTATAAAGATTTAATGGATTTCACATGAAGAGCCCGCACTCTTTCTCTCATTTGATGGATATTTACACCAGGTTTTATGTGCACAATTTGTCGTTTTATGTAGCCATTCCATTCCGTTCGAATGGAATTTTATGCTTGTTCCAATATTTGATACGTTATTGCATTTTTCCGTCGAAACAATGGGGCGATCGACCGAAAGTATGATATTCGCACATTCGCATGCATAAATCTTTTTCGAAAGTATTATGTAAATATAATTTGACGTGTGTGTGTGGGTGGCAAGCAGTCAAGCCAACAAACTATACACAATATAATGAACTAAAGTGAAATATAATGTCAATTCCGCTACTTTTATTTAACTAACCGAGCGTTCCCATTTGCAAATCAGTGGCAACTGATGGAAAGTGAATGGCGGCACGAGAGAATATGGAAGGGTAAGAGAAAGAGAGAGAGAGAGAGAGAGAGAGAGAGAGAAAGAGAGAGATCATGCTCAACCAAGCGACAAATGTGATAGTTTCGAGGAACATTGAACAGTGAAAAATTCAAATAAAATGCTGAGCCAGCTCTGCTACTCTTTCTCTCTCTCTTTCACTCGCTCACTCTCACTGTCGGTCGTTTTCTGTTCTTCTGATTTGATGCGCCATTGAATATCATCGAATCGAGAAGCAGTATGCAACGTATGTGCTCTGAAATTAAATTAAAATAAAAGCTAATGGTGGTGGCTCAAGTACCACAAATTTTCGAGTGATGCATGCATAGTCGTCCACCCCACATACACACACACACACACACACACTCACACACCTTCCCATTATGGTCTCACTCTTTTGCTCTCGTTGGCTCACTCACAACACACAGTTCTCTGAATTATGGTCCAACGGATGACTGAGCAAATGAAAATGTCAACGATTGTCGAGAACAATCAACAACAACAACAACAGCAGCACCAACCATCATCCGGAAAAAGCTTTCACGAATTTTCAAATTTGATTAAATAAAATATTTTTCTAAAAGTGAAATGGCATAGTGGAAAACACCTCAATCATCAGTAGCGATTCCGTTGCTTTCTATAACAACATTTAATATCCGGTCTCTAACCGTATTTGCTGGTGGTTACATACACATTTTCGGTGTTGGTGATTCTCTCTCTCTCTCTCTCTTTCTTTTGCTATCTTCTCATTTATCCTTTCAGTCGTTTTACCACATTTTATTTATTTTTCTGAGTGCTGCGTATACGCGTCAGTTTTTTTTTTGTATCACAATAAAATTTAATTCCATGTTAAATCTCATGTGATGTTTTATCATTAAGTTTTTATGTCGTTTTGTTGAGCAGCGAGTTTATGTGAGTGTTGTTGCACTCAATTTAAGTCGGTGATGTGGTGCGTGTGTGCGCTTCTATGATCATTACATGCACACACACACATACAGGGCATGTTGATTTTCTATTCTCTCTCTCTCTCTCTCTCTCTCTCTTTCTCGCGCGCGATGTTTATTTTTTTTTTGTCTGTCGTCTTGTTGACGTCGAAGGACCAAGCATCGAATGGTCGAATATCGTTATATGGAATATCATCAGTGATATCAGTCGTCTAGTGGTGTTTGGCTTTTGCGATTTTCCTACTCATTTTAATATGGCATTTTATGGCCGTTTTTATTTTTAATTTATGAGGGGCTGTTTCCTAATTTATTTTTTATCTTATTACTTATACGTTCGCTCTCTCGATTTATTTCCAACAGAAATGTAGTGCACACAACGAAAAAATGAGCGAAAAAAAAATTATGTTTGTCAGTTTTTATTATATTATCAGTTAACATCCGCCACCATTCGAATATATATATATGGTACGATATTCAACGAGGCAGCAGCAGCATCTTGGGACAGCACTATTATCGGACAACAATCTATGCAATAAAGCATCATCATTTCTGCAAAATGAGTTTATTTTTATCTATGTATATGTATATTTCTCACTCGATTTTTCAAATACTTGAATAATATGCATATTGAAGGTCTATCGTGTTACACAACTCACTTGAGTTTCCATTCATTAATGCAATATTTTCATTTTATATAATTGTTTTCTTTCCCTTTCTCATCTGTCTGTTTTGCTCTCTCTCTCTCTTTCTCTCCCTCTATTTTTTTTCGAATTTCCGCAGTGTGAACCAATCTCTGGACTCGGCTTTCGACGTGGCTCGTACAAATGTATTTGTCGCAAAGGTTTCTACTTTCCCGACACAAATTTACCGCAATACATACGGTATTTTAACGGTAGTACATTGGAAGAGGAATATGAAAAATTAATGCTGGTAAGTTTTTATTTGCGCTCATTCATTCATTTGTTCAGTCGGTCGTTCCGTTCAGCCAAATGAATTATATATATTTGTATGGGGTGGTTTTTTTTTCTGCATCTCTTCATATTTTATTGCTGTTACATGCGCGACTCTCAATTACAATTCGCACTGACATAATTTATATATATTGCGATAAATGTTCGTGATGGTGGTCGGTTTGTTATTTTATTATTATTTCTACACTGTGTGGTCGTCTCGTCTTTTTCATGTCAGTCACGCATTCATTAGCATACTCAACAACAGAAATATAGCAACACAACTGTGGTGGCAACAACAACAACAACATAAAAATATGGTTTTTACTCCACTTTTTTTTCTACTGTTTTTGCTTCAAAAAATATCGCGTTAAACACTGCCGGTACTAACGGGCGTTTATTTAATTCCGCTATCATTGTTATCGTGTTGAGGAATGTAAAATAGCGGAAATACTTTGCAAAATGAAAAAAAAAAAATTAATCAAGTGCCCCAAAAGTCGACAACAATTGTTATTTTCCTCCATATAGTGTGGGTAATGGAATCATTGCCTTAAAAATCGCTTGTATTAATTTGTATTCATACAATCGAGAGGGGCCGGTCCCATGCAGATACATTTGCTAAATGTATTTGGACATGAAATTTCGTGTTGTATGAAATGTGTGCACCTCAACTCCACTCGCCATACTGTGCAAATGAAAAAACGCATTTCATTCTCGGTAGAAAAATTAACAATTTTCAGCTTTTCGAAATGTGGCTGGTACAAAACTACATCTATTATTTAGTTATCAAGTCAACGGAATTGGCCCCTAATTTGCTTCATTTTTTTTTGTGATTAATGAGAAGAGATTCGCACAGAGATTTCCAAGAAAAATTAATTAGCTCGATGCGTTCCAGTGCTTTTGTTTTCGTGTATTCCAAATTAAGTTATTCGCCCTTTTTATCAAAGGTACACAGGATGATTCGATACATTCAAGTTTATCGTGAATAGCCATTGTCATGATTGCTTTGGCCTTTGCTCTTCATTTTGCATTTTATTTCAATTTGAATGACTAAAGAGAGTTTTTGTTTGTTTTCCGATCAAATTTATGCCAAGCGTATCGAAACTTTATCTTTATCGCTCTCTCTCTCTCTCTCTCTCTCTCTCTCTCTCTCTCTCTCTGTGTGTGTGTGTGTGTGTCTCCCTCTCTCCCTCTCGCTCGAATTGAAATAATTTTATGGCTTTTAAAAAAGGTCAAGTTACTAGGGGTTTTTATGTTAAACAAATTTATTAGTTTCACTCCGAATTTCGCGACGAATTGAATTTTTGAATAGATCGCAAATTATCTGGCAAATTTTACGAATTTTGCGAATTGTTTCTGTAGAACACACGAATTGTGTTCCATTAGAACATAGTGTGCAGTATATTTTGTTGTTGTGATGGGAGCAAATGGAGAAAAAAAGATTCGCTACACTAAATGCATTGTAAAGGGTGTTTTTTTAACGTTTTTTTTTTAATTTCAAATAAAAGGCACAAATTCCGATATTTTGATCGTACCGCTTGGTTTATTTGATAGATAAATTCATATAATTTAATGTCCGACATACAGTTTGGGGTCTTCAGGACACTAAATTTTTCGACCTATTTTTTTTTTCTTTTTCCCGCTTATAATTGACGACAAAAGTTATTTCGTGCTCAAAATATGGTCAGGTTTTAGCCTAAATTTGCATGAAATAACGAAACAAATTAGTAACTCCAAAACTCATTAGTACAGAGTGACGAAATCTGTTTTTGAGCAGTAATCTGGTTTCATCGAGCAGCCTCTATTCACAGCCATTTGGGCTATACCCAAAAACAACTTTTCCACTTTTTCTGACAAAATTGGTCTGGATGATCACCGGATTAAATAAAATGTCCATATCATAGCATATTTTGAGCAAAAAAATCAATTTACTGGAGAAACTGTCTCGTGTAAGTTTTTTCCCAAAATTTCGAATATGTAATCTGTACATCATCCAACAAAATGACCCTATTTTACGGCTATGGGCTACTCCCCGTGGCGATACATGAATTCTTTTGTTTACTCAGATGAAAATGAACCGATTTACACTTTAAAGTCTAACAAATTTCATGAAATTGTGAGTATATGACCTCAAAATCTTCCAAAATAGCTCAAAAATGGACTGTCAGGAGGGGTGGGTAAAAAATGAGGGGAGGTGGTCATATCCCCAAAATGTATGTCGGACATTAAATTATATGAATTTATCTATCAAATAAACCAAGCTGTACGATCAAAATATCGGAATTTGTGCCTTTTATTTGAAATTTAAAAATTTAATTAAAAAAAAACACCCTTTACATTGGTTTGCCAAAAGTACCGTTAATCCGTTCGTAAGAAACGTATTGGCAATGTATTTAGTTGTTTTAATATACATCACAAATATCGTATTGGGAGTGCGAATTTTTACGAATTCTTCCGAATTCGTTTTGAACTTATCGAATTTTCCATATTTTTACGTATTTTGGAGAATAACATACAAATTTTATGTATTCGCGAACAGATAATGTCCCCTAGTCAAGTTATCTCTATGCTCTCTCTCATTCGTGTTCCAAATAATTTCAAAAGCAATTCAAGTGATTTGATTATGAACAATTTTATGGCTTTTTATAAATTAATTTCGCTCGTTTCCGAAACGGTTCCGAGCACAAAGCAAAAACAAAAGACACACAAAAACAAAAAAAAGTTCAGTTAAACCATCAAATGTGGATTGTCATTCAAGATAATAATAATAATTCTAGTGTCCAAGCCGTATAAAATTTTGTATTTTGTTTTCGGATCGGTTTTGCTCTGTTTTATTGCGCGATTGATAAGAGTGAGTGCGAGAGAGAAAGAGAGAGACCGAGTATGTGTGTGTGTCTATGTATGTTTTTGATTTTTGGCCTGGATTTAGACTAACTGCGTTTGATGCTCAATGAATTGGGATCAAATGGAAAAGCTTATGCGGATTACATTTCATGTTTTATGCGTTTTTTGATTCATCTTTAGTTTCAATGAGCGCACGACCGTTTGTTTAGCTAGTTGAAAATCTTTTATTTCGATGGATGAAAATAAAATGAAGCGAATGATGGCATTTTCGAAATAACACTGGTGCTTGTGAGTGTGTGATAGGGTGGAGATGACTGACATACACACAACGGAAATGCCATTTTGCAACATGTCTGGTAATTTGATGCAATTGCGAGAGCATAAGCAAATAAAAACTGGGACAGCAAACAGTACAGGCGAACAAGTAAGAAGAATGGAACAAGAGGGTGGGTGAACAAATAGTGAAAAAGATAAATATAAAGATGTATGTAGTATAAATTGAAAGTGTGAAAGAGAGCTAGAGACAGAAAGGAATGAGATGATGAAAACGCAGCACAACGCAGTACGTCAGCATTAAGAAAGACATACGACTCGAATAGATCGAATTTACGAGCCAAAATTTTTTCATCATCGTCCGTTTTTTTTTCTTCTTCTTCTGTCTTCTATCAAATTTGCAATATGCTATGAACGGCATTTCGACGGGATATAGCATTATGCGCGTATCGATTGCGTATATTATCTCATTTCCACACATGAAACCCCGCCATAAAACGAAGCAATAAAATTGCCCGAAACGAAGAATGAAAATGCGCGCACGACTAACACACAGACACAGCACTAACTTTTAGCTATAACTAGAAAAACTACCCACTAAAAAGTCACATATTATGCATAACACTTGCCATTGTGATTGCTATCAGATCAGAAAGTAGTTGAAAGATCAAGGGAATATTTTTGCTTGTGGGAAAATAGCGTCATGACAATTGACTCAAATTTTCATCATATAACATCGGATGGGTTTTGGGCATGTGTGTTGGATGAAAATGCCATCGACCATTTTTTATTTGTGCGAATATTTCAAGTTGGCTTTTAAATTGTTCGATGTATTTGTTGTTTGTTTCTGTTCTCACTTTACGTTCACAAACCCCTTTTGCAATGTACATCGAATTGTAGAGAGAATAATAGCGTTAAATAAGCAACAACATTAGTTATTTGTGTCCCTTTACTGTGTTGTACTTCCTCTCTCTCTCTCTCACTTACGTACGCATACACAGTATGTGTATTTGGTTTTGCGATGAAACAAATTGGATTTGATTAGGATTTATTATGAATTTGCCGAATGTATTTTTCTTCAATTTCCTGTTTAAGTGAGAGAGACTGAGTGTGTGTGTGTGTGTGTGTGTGAGAGAGAGCTAGAGAAAATATGGGGCACATTTGCTTCATTGGAAAAGGTTTGGCAGTGAGCGAACGAGCGAACTAGTGAACGATCGAAGAAGCAAACAAGCCAAAAGTGATAACAACAGTGATGGTAGGAAGCGAGATATAGAGGAGGCAGAGCATTTTCCAATATGATACGCCGCCGTTGTCGCCGCTATCTGTGAGAAAAACGATGACGACTGGCAAAGGCAGAGCCAGGAAGTGGGAGGAAGGGAAAAAAAAGCTTGTAAACACACCAACTACACACTGAGCATCATAAATCTCTTCACACCAGATTTTTATTACGTTTCACTTGGCATTTTTTGTGCTCGTCCTCATTTTGCCCCGCTTTCGAATTTAGCACTGTACGTTGTACATTACACAGCCACTACTGCTAATACTGCGATGGCTGTTGTTGCCTTCGATGCCGTCACTGTTATGTTTTTGTCGCTTTTCCACTTGCTGTGTGTGTGCGATTTTTTTTTTGCGTCCTCCGTTTTCATTCGGTGTAACTTAAATCTCTCGCCGTTCATTGTTTTCTATATATCGTTTTTTTTTCTCTTGTGTGTTGTCTTTTTCAGTCTATCGCATTTTTTCTCTCTATCTCTCTCCCTCTTCCTAACAACCGTAGTCATATGTGTAGGTTTGTGGCGCTTAATTTGAGTCCCAGAACACACATGGCTCAGTGATAGAGATTTAATATTTTATTACGGGCAGATA